CACCAGCTGGTACAACAGTTCAGTAGTTACAGGACAAGCGAGGACAAACTCACTGTTGTTGTTTCTTTCCATGATGTAAAACATTGTCAGACATTTTATTTTATTTTTATTTCCACTTTCACGTGTTCAGTGCCTTTTTTCTTTTTGTGAAAACACAGAACTGCAGACTGCTTCTTCTCATCTGGACCACGGTGGACCAGGTCCAGACTGAAGCTCTTTGCTAAACCTGTGGGATTCACCTGTTCTCACCTCCTGTCCTCTTCTCTTGCTTCCATCTTTTCTTTGGTCCTCAGTGTGACCCGCCCATCGAGATCCAGGACCTGTTCCAGGACATCCAGGATGGGCGCATCCTCATGGCGCTGCTGGAGGAGCTGTCGGGCTGCAAACTGGTCAGACTGGAGAACTTATGTTTTGGTGCAGCATGTTGTTTTCTTCCATGTCTTGTTCATGTTACCGCCTGGTACCACTAAAGGTCCATTACCTGGAGAACACAGTGAACACGACTAAATGAAGCTGATCCTTCATCCTTTATGTCCTCTGTGACCTGCTTCAGCTTCACTGTGCTCCCTGTAGGGTCTATAAGAGGCCGTTTCTATTTACCACACATTCAATACTCAGTGAGCGTTTGAGTTGCCCCGAGGGCATAAATCAAGTTGTTTGAATTGAAAGTTGTTTTGCCATGACTGTATAAACTACATACACTGTTATTGTAGCTTATCTTCTGAATGATCGTACAGCTTCATGGCTTCAAGAAGTCCTCCCATCGTATCTTCAGACTCAACAACATCGCCAAGGTGCTGTCTTTCCTCGAGGAGAGAAACGTGAGTGTGACAGTGTGTCCGCCGTGGTTCTGGTGGATGAATGGCAGCGCTGGCAGCTCATACAGGATGTGTGTGTCTGCAGGTGAAGCTGGTCAGCATTGACGCCGCGGACGTCGCTGATGGAAACTCCTCCATTATCCTGGGACTCATCTGGAACATCATCCTGTTCTTCCAGGTAATCTCGTTTGAAGCCTCCATCTCATCTTTTATCCCTCAAATATGGATCAGTGTCAGAAAAAGTGCTGCTGTCCCAGCCTGTGGACTTTCAGTTCACCAGAACGTAAAGGGCAGCGTGACCAGTCTGGACAGGTGTGTCTGTGAAGGCCAGGTGGGGAGTCGGCTGTAGCAGATGATCAGCCTCATCATGTGTAGAGTGGTGGCAGGAAGTCAGGCCCTCCTTTTGTGTTATAAAGCGACTTCTGGTCCTCCATGTCTGACTGGACCGACAGCAGCAGGAGGACCCACTGGGCTGCCTGCTAGCTGAACCTCAGTCAGTCCACTGAACCCAAAACCCAGCAGGGGGTTTAAACACATGCCATCTGAAAAAATGAAAATAAATGAACTTATAAACAAATAAATTGCAGTTTAGTGTTAAAGGACACTGTACGGACACAGAGTGTTTCAGTCCTTGAACCAGGTCTTGAAATTCACTCAATGAAATCCTGATATTTCAGGAACATTCTCTCCATGAATCATTCAAACATTCACTAAAAATGAAAAATTTTAATTTTAAATTTTAAAATAAAAATTTTGCACCAGATCCTGTGAAAACCGTCCTCACACAGAGAGCAGAGGAGACAAGCGCTGAAACACATCAGAGACCGAGAGGAAAATGAAACATACGTGATCCGTAACATACGTGATCCGTAACATACGTGATCCGTAACATACGTGATCTATAACATACATGCAGCTCGGCTCAGACGTGCTGCAGAGAGGAGCAGGTTGTGTGTGCAGCACTGAGAACAAACGGCTAAAGTTTGTAGAGGATGTAAAACATTAAACTGTCTCTCGTATGCAGGTGCCTGTTTTCTAGTAAATCTAACACCTGTGTTGACTCCAGGTTTGTCCACCTTTTGTAAAATGAACAATCAGATCCTCAGCTGTAGCTGTTGTGATCTACGCCATCATACGTTTGTCTCTCTACGTCCAGCCCTGGTTCTGCCGATCCATAGAGGTGCCAGACTTTATATTGCTGTCGGAAATGAGCATGAAAGTGTTGCAGGAGTCAGAAACAGCTGGAGACTGCTTCTCCGATGTTAGGAAGCTGTTTGAGAGCCACAGATGTGTTCAACAGGCTGAGCAGCATTCATCATGATGAGGAAACGGATCTGTGTTTGTGTGGTTCCCCTTTATTTCCAGCTCTATGCTCCAACCACAGATTCAACACTTGACAGGTGCTCTGGCTGTTTTGAAGATTTTCTAACTCTGCTTTTCATCTGCTGAAGTGCTCCCGCTACGAGCCACGGTTACCACGGTAACCGTTATGTAATAAATCCTGTTAGAGACCGGGCATTTCCCTGTTGGTGGGAACAGGACTTTAAGCCAGAACAGGTCCTGCTTTATACCCGGGATGGTTTCTGTCCACAGTACACTCTGTTTTAGATCTGCACTCGTTCCACGCTTACTGTAGAACGATGAGAGGAGCCCACTCAGTAGCTGCTGATCACTTTATTATTATCAATATTACTTCTACTGTACACCAAGTGTCAGTATGAAACACTCAGTACGTCATCAGCTGAGCTAAGTTATCATAGCATCCAACCCTCTGTCTCCTCCCAGATCAAGGAGCTGACTGGGAACATCAGGAGCCAGTTCCCCTCCTCCTCCAGCCTGTCATCCATCCCCACCAGCTCCGACTCGGACCTGTCCTACTGCAGCACGCCGTCAGACGAGAGGCAGTCAGCATCCACGGCCATGCGAGAGCACGGCAAGGCCATCAAGAAGCTGCTGCAGTGGGTGCAGAAGCGAACCCGGAAGTGAGTTGGGTCTGTTTTGAACAATGCATTCCTGGTCACACCACAAGGACTACAACAGAACCAACAGTTTACTGTCTCCACACTTTGAGTCTCTCTAGAATGTGTTTGATGTTGTTTCTGGACTGGTTCTGACCACTGTGCCTGCTGTAGGTACGGCGTAGCAGTGCAGGACTTTGGGAAGAGCTGGACCAGTGGTCTGGCCTTCCTGGCTGTCATTAAGTCTATCGACCCGAGCCTCGTAGACATGAGGAGGGCCCTGCTGAGAAGTGCCAGGGAGAATCTGGAGGATGCCTTCAGGATAGCCCACTACAGTCTGGGTATCCCACGACTCCTGGAGCCTGAGGGTAAGTAGATATCAGCCTAATCTGTCTACTACCACGACCAACTTAGTCAGCGCTGTAATTCCATTATAACATTAAATTAGTTACTCTGATCAGTAGGAAATCTAAACAGTCCCAGAATCTGGAGGAGTCTGAGCATCGCTGCCACCAGTGTTTCCAGAATGTCAAAGCACAGAACCATAAACATGAATATTCTGGAGCTCGGTGAGGCTGCAGGTCAGACGTGAAGCTCCAGATCCAGAGACGTCTGCAGAGAGAACAAGCACAGGACCTTAATAGTTCCTCCTCTGTCCAGATGCCTGGTCTGATGTCTATGAGCAGGTGCTATTTCTGACTCCAGTACCTGGTGACCAAAGCAGTGCCGTCCTGTGTAGATCCTGAGTCATGCAGGTCCTGGTGATCCCAGCAGCTTAAGTCAGAAGCAGCTGGACTTGTCTTTGTACTTTCTGAAGACGTTTCATGCAGAAGGCTTGTCCAGTTTTAGCTGACTGATGAGGAGCTTCAGGTGTTTGATGTGGCTGATGGCCATGAACCACCAGGACTCAGGTTCATGCTGTTGGTGTTGAGCTGCTTTGCTTTGCTGTGATGATCTCAGCTACCGAGAAACCTGCACAAAAATAAGTTGTTCAATAGCAGCGACTGAGTTTCAAACGTATCCATAAAAACAAGCCGTAGGTGTGCTGATGTTGGTGTTTGTGTGAAGCTGGTGGTCGAGCAAACATGAGCTCAGTGGTGGTGCTTGTTCAGGCTGGAGCTACATCCACAGCAGAGACACGGCGTTCAGGTTCAGTTAATGCTGCGTTTGTTTGATCTCAGACCTGGAAGACGTGCTGAGGAGGAGAAAAGGGAGATTAACATATTAATACCACGCTGTCTTTCCTGGTAAAACCATGGCGTGTTTTTGTGTTTTAGTGGAGCAGATACCTGAGCAGTGAGCTAATCCAGGCGTCCTGATGGAGGGACATGTAGAGATGTGAGCTGAACAGAACCTGCTTAACAGAACCTGCTGCACTGCTCTGTGATGGGGGCAAAGAAGCAGCGCTGTTCAACAATATGAAGAACAAACCAAGATGTGCATTTAGTACCTGTTTGTATTTAACTTTATGCTGTAATGTGACAGAACTGCTTTGTTCAAAATGAACCAACACCGACCCGACAGACTGATGTCATGACTGAAACAGAACCAGGACTCCTGGTTTGAGTCAGACATGAGAACTACATGTATAACTGCCAGCACTTTGATGCTATGAGCTGCTATATGGAGCCTGTTTGTTTTAATGGTGCTGTGGTTCCTTCTGTCTGCCCAGACGTGTCCATTAACACCCCAGATGAACAGTCCATCATGACGTATGTGTCGCAGTTCCTGGAGCACTTCCCCGGCAAAGAGGAGGTAAGGATCCCGTTCAGTGCATAGACCAGGGATCTCCAGCTCTGGTCCTCCTGAGCTCCTGTCCTGCAGGTTTTAGATGTTTCTGCAACACACCTGACTCACACTAATGGATCATAACAGACTTGTGTAGAACTTGACATCAAGCTGCTGGAGATCCATGAATGTGAGTCAAGTGTGCTGCAGTACGGAGACGTCTAAAACCTGCAGGACAGGAGCTCAGGAGGACCGGAGCTGGAGATCCCTGGCAGATGATATGAATGAGACACAGTCCTGCAACATGTTCTGTTCTCTCGCAGTCGGAGCAGCCCTGCCAGATGATCATCGAGCGAAGCATCTCCATGGGCCGACTCAACTTCCGTGACAAAGACTCTGAGCACATGAGGAACGGCGCTCACCGAAGCAGAGTGAGGGAGAGGTCCTACATGTTCCAGAAGGACTGTGTCCAGCCTCCCCCGAAAATCCTGATTTCCTCCGTATCAGAAGACCGAGGCGCCGCGTCGCCGGGCTTCAGGATGGCTGCGACTCGCTCATGGTCCAGTGAAGACTTTTTATCAGATACCGCCCAAACGGGAGACATCTCCAGTCCAGCCCTGGAAGACACCAAGACACCTGCCAGTGAGATCCTTCCTAACTTGATCTCTGATTCCCCAGAAGTGTCTTATGCTCACTCTCCCACCTCCTCGTCAGTGCCCGAGTCTGTCAACACCGAGTCAGTGATCGGTGACTCTGCCATCAGCTCACCGGAGTCCTGGGTGGACAGTGAGTTCGGGGTGACACCAGCGAAGTTCTGTGAGAGCCGAAGTGACAGCTCTCTGTGTGACAGCGGGACAGCCTGGGACGTGTACCGGGCCACCCCCGTGGAGGTCACTGCTCTAGATGAAGGACTCGTCCCGTCCACAGAGAGCAGAGCCACCGACGACCAGTCCATGACGGACTCATATACCGATGAAGGCATTTACTCACTGAGCTCACTGGAGAGCAACCAGGGCAGAATCCAGGAGCATTCTGGGAAAAAGCTGGTGGTACTGAAGGATGAAGAGGTTAGGGGTGAGAACCACAACCAGGACCTGGTGACAGAACATGGACCTGGTCAGGTTGAAACTGAGGTTTCAAACGAAAAAGACGGAGATGAAAAGAGAGAACAGACGGATACGAGTCAGCATGGAAAAGACAAAGTGCCCAGAGAACCAGAACTTGGTTCTGGACTGTGTGATGCTGAAGTGCCGGCCCAGTCTGGTGCTGAAGACATCCTGGAAGCTGATGAATCTGGGACGGAACCGCCACTCCTGGACCATCCTGAAGAGCACATGAAGCTGAACAGCGTGGAGAAGAGCATGAACAGAGAAGATGTGCAGCTCATGACACAGGACCATGAAGGAGAACATCTAGGTCAACATGAAAGTCTGGAAACGAGAAATAAATGTGAAAAGGCTGAAGTGGAAACCGTACGACAGAAAACCGATTCAGAGGATCAAAGAAAAGGTGCAAATAATGAGTCAGAAGCTTTGAAGAAAACGAGTGAAGGGAGAGCAGAAAGCCAGGATGAAGGGAAGGATGAGGAGCTTCTCAGAGACAACCCACCTGATCCTAAAGACAGCAGAAGATCAGAGTCTTGTAAACCTTCAGAGAGCACACAGTCAACCAACCAAGAGGGAACATCACAGAAGAGTCTGGGCCCAGGCGTGGACATAAACATCCCTTTGATATCCATTTCCTCTGAGCCAGACGAGCAGGATAACGAGGGAACACGTTACCCAGAAGGACCAGAACATGCTGACGATCCGACACCTTCAGGACTAATCAAGGGTACAGAAGACAAGCACTCAGATGGTAGAGATGAACAGAACACCAGTAACACAGCAGGTAGCAAACAGGAGGTCCAGTCTCCACCCGGTGGTGTTCACTCAGGAGAGGACTCGACCGCTCAGTCCTCTACAGACACCAACCATCAGCTCATCAGTACAGACGCAGGTACAACCGACCAATCAGATGGTCACCAGAACAAACCAGCCGGCGCTTCTTCTGACACTGAGACAGTCAGTACACAGCAGAACACACTGGATCCACTCAGCACAGAACCACACAGTGAGACAGAGATTCTGGTTCGTGAGCCAGCCGGTGTGTCCACAGACATGGACCTGTTCTATGGAGACGCTGGTCGAAGTTCTCCTACAGAGGATCTGGTTGGCGACCCCGTGGAGCCCATGGATCTGTTCTACCCTGACAAAGAGGAGCCCATGTTCACAGAACCGCCCGACACTGAAATGCAGAGCTGGCCTTCTGTGCTGAGTGTGTCTCCTCTGCAGCCGGCGCCGGCCTCAGAGGTTCTGCAGGATGACCAACAGCTGAACCTGCTGGGGGACGAGTGCATGGATGGACGGACTTTCATACAAGAGCAGGATCAGGTAAATGTGATTTATGAAACTTTATTTACTGACAGTAGAGCTTGTGGTGATACCAAGGCGAGGCTGTATCGGCTGTGACGGTCACTTGGTCCACAACTGGTCCAGACTCGTGTGGACGTTTCACAGACTGCCGTCATGAAGCTGACTGTTTGGGTTTTGGAATGAAAAGCTTGAATGCTGCCCAAGATGTTTCTACACATATTCCACATAAAGTAGATCTTTATTCTGCCATCATCGGGTCAAATCTTAACACTTCAATCACTGTGTGAAACTAAAGTTATTCAGGTCAGAGCCTCAGGCCTTTATCTGTGTGCAGAACTGGAGGCTCCATGTTGTACCAGCTGACAAGGTAAAGATCAAAGAGTTCTGAGTGAATAAAGCGTCGTGCTGGAATATTCTGTGTTCATCTGTTGACATTTTGGCCGAGAGGCAGAAAGAGTTTGTCCCCTAAACAACATCAATGAGCTGAATTTTGCTGTTGAAATGAAGTTTTTCTTTTTGTAAAGTCCACCAACACATTGGGCTTCACTGTCTGGGATCCCTGACTGTCCACAGTAAGCTACATCAGTATCTAGAGGTGTGAACGGTACGTGTTGGGTTCTGACCAGTACCTCTTGATCTCCAACAGAGCGGCCGACTCGTGGCCTGCACAGCGTTGACCTGCAAGCTGGACAAAAGCAGACACGCTGACCTCCATCTTCATGTTCTGGACATTCGTAAAAGATTTCTCTGCATCCTTTCTAATCTTACCAGGTGTTTGCTAAGACCAGCCCAGAGACCGACAGCGCGTCTGAATCCCAGGACCGGTGCTTGCTGCCTGGGGAGAAGACAGGAAGGCTGGTGGGCGACGATGTTCAAGCAGATGATCTCAGAGAGGCCGAGCAGGAGAAGCCGGACTCTGCCAGAGAAAACACAGAGCATGTGAGGTAGGCTTTCTATTCTTAGTCGGCTCCCTGGTACACTGAGAAATGCTGCACCCCGGGGAAATCCAGTGTTGTGGCAATGGACGGGCCTGCTCTGACCCGGCCTGGTTCAGTTTGCTCAGATACTTCCATAAATGTACTGAACGGAGTAAAGTGTGTAGGCTGCTGAAATTAAGACAGGCCTTATGAGGACTGAAGGACGGCGGCTTAAAGGACGCAGACGAGGATTACAGATATTAATGTATTACTGCAGCGCTTAATTCTGTTCAAGTTCAACAGTCTGAACGTTCTCCTGAAGACCTCCACATATCAGAACCCGGCGCTGGTCGTGGTGTGCTTCTTTCAGGTAGAACCATTTAGTGTAGTTCTATTCTGTGACTACGATATAAATACTGCCGGGTCCATGAGGATGTGGACGTGGCCCGGTTTGAGTCACAGGTACATCATCAGAGAGGCTCGCCTCATAAAGAGCCCTGAGTGGAAATCTATGGGAGACTTTAGTAACGTCAGAGACGGAGGTTACGTAATAAACCGAGTGCTGCCTGCTGTCGGGCAGCCGGACCGACGTGTCCGACTAATGGAGCTGCATTAACCCAGATGTGCTGTTATGAAACCGACCCGATACGGAGCAAAAGCAGAACCTTTGTTCAAAAACATGTTTGAGCCTCATTCTGGAGCAAAGTCAGCAAACTGTCCAACCTGTTGTTGGTGCTGATTCAAACCCCTCAGATCTTTCTCCATTTGGTGCTCTTCAGCGTTGGATTGTGCTCGATACAGTTTTTTCCTTCCATGACAAGAAATCACAAAATAAGACTTTCTCAGGCCTGCAGGTGGATCAGTGGTTAGCACCGTGGCCTCACAGCTAGAAGGTCGCCGGTTCGCGTCCCGGTGAGGACACCCGGGATCTTCCTGCGTGGAGTCTCCATGTTCTCCCCGTGCAGCGTGGGTTCTCTCCGGGTTCTCCGGCTTCCTCCCACAGTCCAGAAACATGCTGAGGTTAATTGGTGATTGTAAATTGTCCGTAGGTGTGAATGTGAGTTAGTTAGTGGTTAGAACATCCATCCATCGTCTCTACACCTTAACATGATGGATGTTCTAACCAGAAAGTGTTTCCACTCTGCAGGCTGATTGGTTTCTTCAGCTTGTTTTGTACAAACCCTCGACTCTTTAATGAGCGTACTGGTCACCAGCACACTGGAGGTGGAAATGCTCTAACTAACGACGTGTCTCTCAGCATATAAATATAACCACATGTGCAGTCGTGTGCTAACCTGTGAGGTGTATGAACTTCATGTGAAAACGTCGTTCTATTCTGTGAGTTCCAGTGAGGTGGACTTGAGCCGCCCTCAGTGCACCAGACTTCTGTACGTTTGTTTTACACTGCTGTGGACCTTGTATTTACTCATGATGACTTCCTGCTCCATTCACCAGCTCTGCTCTTTCCTGTTGATACTTAAACTAACAGATTCTGTCTTGTCAGGGTTGACAACAGAAGCTCCAACAGAGCAGATGAAAGCCAGACGCCTCCAGTTCTCCGTCACAGAAAGGGGGCTCGTTTGACTGGAGCCGTGGTGAGTTCGATGCTCCACTTCCTCCTCTATGGAGATAACACTGTATTAATCACTGCTGTACAGTGAGAGTTTGTGTCCGGTGTGTTCCCCTCTCAGGACGCTCAGAGAGCTGCGCCCAGAAAAGCTGACAAAGAAGAAGACTTTTGGTAAGAACTTTTCCTGCCTTGCTTTGGTTCTTTGTACCACATCGGGTTTACACAACTACACGATAGGAGGAGCTGCTTAGCTTATAAACTCATCGTCATGCTGTGCTACTCGTCCTGTATGAGCATGCCTCAGCAACGACACCAAGGCTGGATTCTACCTCCACACAAAGGGTTACGAAACCACGCTCGTCCCCCCGATCGCTCACGGGGATATTTAATGGAACCGAGCCATTGTTAGTGGAATTAGCCTGAACTGTGCTCTTCCTGCTATGACAAGTCCGATTGTCTGCCAAGTCTTTTAAATCCTGCAGTGACAGTGTACAGGTGAGCGGCATCATTTGTACAGCAAAGGTGTGTAGTAGCCCAGAAGTCTCTTCAGTTACAGTTCTGGTGCTGCTGCTGCAAAACGAGGACTC